TTTCTTCTCTTTCCATTTCCAAGATAGTGGTGGAATCGATTTGTTTGGTTAGTTTGAGGTATTTAAATGAGCCAGGTAGAGGTTCGTGAGGTTTATTGTCGGCTCATTTACCGGTGATGGCTGATTTTAGACGAGGAACTAATAAACTACGGGCAAAGGTGTCGCCATTTTTGGGGTTGCCTTGTTCGATGAGGATGAAAGAGCGGTTAGATTTTTCAGTTTGGTTAAGTTTTAAAACTGCCTCACCGGTAGTTCCTGTGCCAGCAAAAGGGTCTAAAACTAGACCATTAGGAGGACACCAGAGTTGGATAATTTTGGTGAAAAGTTTAAGAGGTTTAACTCCAATGGTTCGCTCGTTTATTCTTTCTTCTAGTTCACGGGTAGCTTCTGCTGAACTACCTCCAAATTTTCCATCAAGTGATACTGATGAAATATCATTCCAATAATCAATAGCAACTTTTCCTTTTTTAACATTTTTTAAATATCTTTTAATTCCGGGTCTACCTTGACCTTTTTTAGAAAAAACTAGTTTCGGTCAATTTCCCTTAGCAAGCCTTTTTTGTGCTTTTTCATGGGATATTTTCATTAAAAGGTCTTTTTGGGGGTCGGTAAAGTTTCTAAAACCTTTTATTACTAAGGCTGGGAATACTCCATCTTTTAAATCTCTTTCTTCGTATTCCATTCCTCATTCTTCTAGTCATTTTTTCATGCTAGTTTTTGTGTTTCGTCAGTCTGTTCCTTGACTAATAGTATTTTTTCTAGGATACATTAATTCTCCTGTAAAGGGATTTTGAATAGCATAAATATTTTTGTTATTCACTGTTAGGTCTTTGGCAGTTGGGTCGCCGACAACCCAACTGCCAAGCGGGTCATTATCAATGTTATCTCAATCATCAAAATCCTTTGGTAAAAGATTAGTTTTAACACTTTTTATATTTTTCGCATAAACTAATACATATTCAACACAAACCGAAACATGTTTAACCATGCTATTTACCGTTGCCTTTTGCCAATTAATTATTGCAATTCTATTTTCTTCACCAAAAATTTCATCCAACATCTTACCTAAATTAAAAATCTCTCGGTAATCAATACAAATTGCTAATACTCCACTCTCTTTCAACATTTCCTTCATTAAAATTAACCTCGGGAGCATAAACTTCATTCACTTTGTATGCCTAGAAGGGTCATCAGATTTAATTAGATTTCCGATTCCTTCATCATTTGGGTCTTCATTCCACTTATCATTATAACGAAAATCTTTGCCAGTATTATAAGGAGGGTCGGTGATAATTAAATCTACTTTATTTCGGTATTGATAGAGGCTAGATAAAGCATGCAAATTATCTCCTTCTAAGATAAAATTAGAAGAGTTAGTAGGGTTAAATGAATATCTAGGTAATTCTTTTAAAATACGAGGGTTGACTCTACGAATGATTTGTTTAGCAGTAGTTTTTTCAGGAAAGATTATTTTAATTCCACCTCCTTCTTTAATTGTTTCCAATTCTGCTTTAAGTTGAGAGAGTTCTTGTAACAGTTTTTCATAAGAAGTGTGAGGCATATAAGAGATTTTAAGTTTAAAAACAATATATGCCAACAAAATCAATAATAATCGGTAAATCCCAATTAATTGAGCGAATAACTAAAAAAACAAAACTAACTAAATCAGAAGTAGATAATGTCCTTACTAACTTCCTAGAAGAAACCAAAAAATCTCTCCTCAAAGATGAAGAAGTCCGTTTACAAGGTTATTTCACCTTAAAAACAGCCATTACTAAGCCCCGCATGGCCATGAATTTACAAACTAAAAAGAAGATGAAAGTCCCTGCTAAAAGAGTGCCTAAATGTAAATTTAGTTTAGGTTTTAAGGAAGAAATTAGTAAAAAATAACTTATCCAAGAAATCCTTTTCTAAATATGTCTAATAACCTTATAAAGGAATTAAAAATCCCCGGCACTTATAATATTGCTAGTATCAATTGCCAATTAACCGATAATCACCCTCAACATGAAGAGGACTGTGAAAGAAAAATCCAAATAATAGTTAATACTAAACCCGAAACAAGTATTACCGCTAATTATTTAAAAAGGCAAGGGTGACCTAATGATATTAAGCTTCAAATAGTAGAAAAGTTATTGCCTGAAAGTTTTACTAATTGGTTAGAATATATGAAAAAAGAAGAAAAGAGAGTAGGAGTTTTATTTCCTGCCGTAGTAAAGTTTTCTTTTTTGCCTCATATGTGTCAGTATTTAGATTATGGATGAGATAAGAAGTATTTTGAAGAGGAAGTTAGACCGAGTTTGACAAGTGGGAAAGAGGGGAAAGGGAAGAAGTAAAGGAGGTAGATATATAGAGATAGATTGGTAGAAGTATTAACCCTCACTATTAGAACATTTTTTACAAATCCCACTATCACTATCAACTTTTTTATATTCACCACAATTATTACATTCTCCTTTTATTCATTCTATTTCCTCTTTCTGTTCGGCTTCGTAGTCATCAACTATTTTCTTTCTTTCCTTTTGGACTTCTTTTTTTATCTTATTACTTTCCTCACAACTCCAACAATCACAACCTTTTTTCCCTCGTTCCTCATGAAATTTGGCTAATTCTATTTCTTTTAAATATTCTTGGCTCTGTCTTTCTAATTGTTCGGCAGTAGTTAGATAATTGTTTTCTATTCTTGCCTTTTCATAACCTCAATATCTAATTAAACGCTGTTGTTGGTCGTAATCTAAACTATTCCAACTTTTACCTCTTTTGATTTCTTTTTTTGTTGTATCTCAGTAATCATTAATCAGAGTTTCCGCACTTTCTCGCAATTTCATAATGAATACGATATCATTTATTCCTTTTTGGCAATCTTTTAAAGTTCAGCAGAAGTCAGCATATAGTTTATGTTTTTGTTGGTTTAGTTCCGTGTATTCTTTTAAAGACATTAAGATTTTAATGCTTTCGGCTCTGTAATATTGTTTAGTTGAGAGTTGGGATTGTTCTTTTTGTTGTTGATATCTTTGCTTTCGTTTTGCCTTCTCTGTTTCTTTATCTTGCTGATATTTATCTCGTCTTTGGGACTTTAACTTTTCTTTATCTTGCTGATATCTTTCTTGCTGTTGTTGCTTTTTCTTTTCCTTATTCTTTTGATAATACTCTTTATCTATTTGTTGCTTGGATTTTGGTGTAGCCTTGTTATCTATCAGAATACTATTTATAGTATTATTTTTAGTTTTACTTGTTACTTTAGGCATATTTACTATATATATTTATTCTATATATATTTATTCTATTGTTGTTATTCCGAGTAAGAATAAATTAACTTATTTAAGAAGCTCTTAGTATTAGAATGTTTTATATTACCTCACACAATCAGAGCAGTAAGTATGAAAATCATTTATCTCTCTCATGCTTGGAGCATAAGAGTAAGCGGTATCCTGTTCGTATTCATCACCGCAATTATCACAGGCGAAGTTGAGGGGATAGTAAGGAGTAAGTTGAGGTTTTTTGGGTTTGGGTTCAATTACTTTAACAACCTTTTCTAACTCTTTCCCTGACTTAACTTTCTTTTCTCTTTCATAACTTTCTAAACTCTTTTCTAAAATTTCAACCATTAAACATTTCTCTTCCACTGCTATATTTTTTAGCTTCCAATAAAATTCCTCTCGAACTTTAAAATTCAACTGTTTAGTTCTGCCCGTAATTCTTTTATCACTAGGGGCAGTTTCGGGGGCTTTTATATTTTCACTAATTTCCTGTGGAATAGCACCAAATATCTTTCTTTTACTCATATATTATATTTTAAATCTACCTCTATATTTATACCTCTACCTTTTTAAGTAAGTAATCAACTAGTTTCTGGCTCTGTTGCCGTAAAGAAGCAAAATTAACTTCACTAATACTTTTTCCCTCACTTTGAGCTTGACGATAAGAAGCCTTTTCATACAAATAATAAGGAGCAAAAGAATAACCGCTTTCAGTTAAGTATTCTTGGGTGGCTAATATTTCAGTAGGAGTAGATAAGTGATTGAGAATGAATAATAATTTATTTTTATTAATTCCTTGTGCTTTTAAGGCATTGAATTCACGGAGGGCAGGCAATAGGTCATCACGGCTGGCTCCGACTGGTTGAATTATTAAATCGGCTTTCTTGGCTACTTCTAAGGTTCCTTGGCTAGTCCTTGCGGGAGCATCTATGATTATTAGGTCGTATTTATTACTTAAAGGTCAAATATCTTTTACTTGTTGGAATACTTGACTAGTAATGGTAGGAATTATTTTATTTTCTTTCCGCCATTGAGTTCATTCATAACTGGTCTTTTGTTGGTGGTCGCAATCGGCTAATAAAGTTTTGATTTTCTTTTTAGTTACTTCGGTGGCAAGAAGCCGAGCAAAAGTAGATTTTCCCACTCCTCCTTTTTGGGAGATGAATGCTATAACTCTTTTCTTTTTTATCATATTTTAATTTTACCTGCTTTTGTATAACTCTATAAATATATCTCTATATATCTACCCATAATCTTGTAATACTCTACTGAAAAACCTATGCTTATAGCCCTGAACTAAATAAATACTACTAACTTTCCCAAGCACTAAATCATCCAAATCCCTTTGATAATCATTGACTAAAAAGTATCCTGTTTCTTTACTTTTTCAATCTAAATAAAACACTTTCCAAATATCCTTTAAACAGGTCTTTTGTTTTCCTGATATGCTGGCTTCTACAATACTACTTTTCTGATTTCCTATATTCTCCACTTGTTTTTTGGCTAAATCTTTACCAAGTATTAGCATTTTTCTATTCCTTGGTTTCTGAATAACAGTTTCATTCAAACTCAAAAAAACACCATTCAAAAACTCCTCCACTTTTTCCTTAATATCCCCAGCCAGAAAACTTTTATTAAATATTCCTTCTGTGCCATACTTTTTCACTAATTTCCTCCCTCATTCAGTGATAACCAACTGCCGATTTTTATCACCTCCTACCGGTAAAGCCACCAAATCACCTACTCCTAATAAATCGGCTACTTTTTGACCGATATCTTGGTGATAAATTTTCCGACCTTCCATTGTTCCAATTAACCAAAACGGAAAAGGAAGACAAGAATTTCCCGGTGTTCCAGTAGTTCAGTAATAAGGAATTTGGTGTTTATTAATCAAACTCTTTCACTTTTTCCCTCCGACCACTAATGCTTTTCTCAATCATTCCTGCTTAATTTTATAATTACCATCTTTATCTTTCTTGTTAGGGTCTAAATCTAGTAAAGGAATATCAACTTTCCCCAACACTATCTCATGAGTAAAAGCCAAAGCGGCTAAACTTCTATTCTTAGTCTCTCAGTAATCAGGAGAATTTCACCCAACCGCTTCCCAAGTCGGTTTAGGTCTGCCATTTTCTTTATAACCAGCCACTAATTTAGCGGGATTATCTCATTTACTCAATATCTCAACTTTTAACTTAATCTCTTCTCACTTCTTCCTAAATTGTCTAGGTTTCTTTTCTAAAATTCTTTCCAACTCCTCCTTTTCCCTCCAAACTAAATGACAGAATAAGTAATCTTTTTGCTTCACTAAATAATAAGGTTCAGTAGGGTAGTTCTTAAAAAAAAACAAGTTCTTATTACCTATATATAAAGCTATGTAGGGATTTTCACGTCCACCACTTAAAGAGTTCTTAATTATTTCCTCTATCGGAGTTAAAAGGTAGTTTTCTTGTTTAAAAAAGTTAATTCAGTATCTAGTTTTCCGAGATAGTTTATGACGGTCTTTTTTTCTAGAATGAGGGGCGAGGTTTTTCCCTTGGTTTCTTTTCTCGTATTTTTTTTGGGGGTGTAAGTAAGCAGTGTTTAAATCTGCTACTTGAACGGCTAAGTTCAGCATGATTATTAATTATTAATTCAGCCCTGGTTAGTCCCGAGAACTTAGCCGGAACTAGAACTAACCAAAAACCCTTAGCCAATTATGAATAACCAGGGCTCAATTAACAATCTATATTATAATTTTACTTTTTTTCTCCTAATGTATTCATAAATATTTCTTGGGATAACTCTAACCAATGCTTCTTTTCTTCTTCTTTTTTAACATATTTACTTACATTGACAATAGTATCTAAATTGTAGGCTATTTTAACTGCTAATTTAAATATTTCTTCATCATTACTACTATTTATTGCTTTTTTGTTATGACTAATAATCTGCTTTAAGGTTTTAGAAGTAGAATGCTCTTTTAAATATTCAGCAATCTTATCAAGGTTTATTTTTGCTACTATTTTCTTAATTTCTTGTGATTTACTATTCATATTTTCTTTTGTTAGGATAAAGCGCATTCACAAAGCCAACAAACTCAGGAACATCATCATCCAAAAAGATAATTATCTTGTAATTTCTCTTATTTCTTTTATCTACAACTGGCTCATAAGCATAATATTTTCAAGGTTCTCAATTAGGGTGAGTTCCACGACTTTCTAATTCTTTTTTATCTAATTGCTGAACCATATCACAAATTACCTGATTATTGAATAATCTATTTTTATCTGGTTTAATTCCTTTTTTCTTACAGCTTCTTAAATACTCAATATTCCTTTTCTTATAGTGATAACTAATTACTAAGTTAGTTCTTTTTTTACCTTCAATTACAGCATCAATTAGGTAAGGTTTACTTATTTTATCAGACTCGGGCAGAGGCTTTCTCACCTTCATAATTAATTTTTAGTTGGAGATGTCCGTTTAGTTTTTCAGTATAAGATACTAATTCTTCAAAGTTAAGATTGCTAATTCTACCAAATAAAATGTCATCGGTTTTTTCTTTGTTGGCTTTGATTTTTTTGGCTAATTCACTAGGAGTAAGTTTGTTTACTCTTTTATAACGACTTATGCTTTGGCAAATATCGTATTTAGCCCTATCTAATTCGCTAGCATTTGGCATTAAGCCAACATTTATTTCTTTACAGTTGGGGTCGGAGAAGTGTTTGGTAATTCTTTCTATTTCCTCTTTACTAGGGAAAATAGGTTTTTTGTTAAGGTTTTTTTTTTTACTTACTGCCATAATATCTAATTTTACTAAACTAAATCCCCCATCACCACTCCTAACCCTTCATTAATACTTTCCACCTTCTTATTATCAATCTCTCCTCTCCTTTTCCTATACCATAACTTATAATAAACCTCTTTTCCATCTCTTCCTCCATACTGAACTAAAATAATCACTACCACTTTTTTTGGCATTTCTTCAACCATTTCCTCCCCTGGCTCAGCAATTCTTACTAATTTCCTCTCCAACTTATCTCTTTCTAAATGCTCCCCTGTTACTTCTAAACAAACTACTGTTTCTCCAATTCAAAACAGAAAGTCAGGAAAAAAGTTCTGAGTCAACCCTACCTCATCAATCAACTCTATTCCATATCCATAATAGGTCGGATTTCTACACCAGTCAACTCCTAAATTATCTAATTCTGTCGCTACTCTTTTCTCTAAATTATTCAACCCACTATATTTACTATGTAAAGCATTTTTAAACTCCACACACCTCGCTTCATTCTTCTCCACCTTAATCCCTTTGATTTCATAAGGCTTTTCTAAACTAATTCGCAATAAACTTTCATTTTTATAAGTATTAATCAATTCTTCCCCTATTTCCCTTAACTCCTTATCCGCCTCTGAACCTCAACCGATATCTACTTTAAATTTCGAGTCTTCTCATTTCAACATACTCCACACTTTCGTATTCTTATTGACAATTACTCTTCTTAAAATAACTTGGGCAGGAACCATGTTAGCAAAACCAAAATCTTCTTCTCAAATTCGGTCTTGAAGAACATTGGGATTACCTAAATCTTTTTCAATTCTTCGGACTTTACCAATATTTTGTCTAAACTTCAAAGGCTTGTCTTTTTCATAATTAGGAATATTATTAACTATTTTCTGTAATTTCCGCTGAATATATTCACTATCTCAGGTCAAAAAAGGAACTTTTTTCCCCACCTGTTTCGGAGGAATATCTTTTAAATAAGCAACCCCACCCGACTTATCTTTTATTTCAATGTCATCTTTGGAGATAGATAACTTTTCATTTAGTTCATCAATTATTTTACTAAATACTTTATTTTCATCCACCCGAATATGAAAGTAGGCTTTGTTTAATTCTTCATTTTGATAATACTGACAATTAGGCTGTCGCAATACTCTTCCAATTATTTGTTCTACTGCCACTTCACTCCCAATGGTTTTATCAATATAAGCTAAATAAACCATAGGGTCATCTCAACCTTCGGCTAATGACTTATTGAAAATAATGTGCTGGTAATTATCCTTAATAAATTTCTCATAAGTATTTTCTTTGGGACTAGATTTCCCTTTGTTAAATAAATTCTTTGTGAACTCAATATCTAACGCATACTTTTCCTCTTTGGCAACTGCTACATCAGCATAAATAGCAATGGTGTCAGGGTCAATTCCTTTCTGTTTAACTAAATGTCTTCAAATAAGAATTGGAGGGGCATTTCTTTGGTCGAAGTGAACTTTTGGGTCATCTCTTTTACTTTGAGAAGTTTTGCTTCCTCTTGTTTCTAATAGGTTAGTTTTGCAGACATAAATAATTTTAGGAGTAGGTAAATTTTCTTTACTAGAAGCCTGTTTTAATTGACTTCAATCTTTATCTAACATTTCATTTAAAACTTCCTCCATTTGAGATTTATAACCCCCTAAAACTATCTTGCCTTTTACCATTTGTTTATCTTTTACTTGTTTAAAGGGAACGGTGTAGAGAGGATTAAAACCTTTATCTTTTAGTTCTTTTTGAAGGTCGGTTAAGGTGTAAGGTAAAGAAGGGGTTCCAGAGGCTAAAAAGATTGCTTGGGGGTTTAGTTCTAATATCTTTTTAACTTGACTATCGGTTAAGTTGTGGGCTTCATCGTAAATTATAATTAAATCTCTCTTACTTTTAGCTAAATAATCTTTTCTTTCTTTAATTAATTCTCAGGCAGATTTATCTCCTTTATCAGGTTGAACTTGGTAAATTAGCCGAGTTTCTTTGTTTTGAACGCTAAATTTTTGAATGGTGTCAACATAGATAAGAGGGGTGTCTAATTGGGAGATATCAGTTGAAGAGATTTCTAGGAAAGATTTAACTTGAACTTGGGGGATTAAGAGCTGGTATTTATTTTTTAAATTATGAAAAGTTTGCTGAACTACTACTTTATTACAGCTTAATCAGAAAAAGAGGGGTTGAGGTTGATGGAGATAATAAGTTAAGAGATTAGCAACGGTTTGGGCTAAAATAGCGGTTTTACCACTACCGGTGACACTGGAAAGGAGTTTTAGGAAAGGGAGGGGTTGGGAGCTTTGATGGTAAGTAGGGTATTGTTTAGTTAATTGATTAGCGGCTTCAAGTTGGTAGGGGTGTAGTTTAAGGGGAGTTAGGGAGTTGTTTTTGAGAGAAAGGTTATTTTTTTCCATAAGGTCTAGTTTTTTTTAGTCCTACTTCGGGGCTTATTCCAAAATTTAATAGTAGTTGGTCGGGTATTTTATAGAAAATGATTGATTTAGGGAAGTAGGCTTGGGTGCGAGCATAAATATGGTAAGTAGGGGATAGTTTGTGTTTTTTACTCTCTAAGGCACATTGGCGGTAAATTTTTTCGGTGATGTTGCTTTCGCGTTTTGGATTACCATTTCAAATTAGGAATATTCCTTCGTTTTGAGAGTTTTTGGCAATTAAGTAAGTGTTATTGGATAAAGGAGTGGTGTTTAGTTGAGTAGAGAGAATGGTGTCAATTATTTCTTCTCTTTCCATTTCCAAGATAGTGGTGGAATCGATTTGTTTGGTTAGTTTGAGGTATTTAAATGAGCCAGGT